GCAAACTACAGATTCAACTCAATGCCCATCAAAATCCCAGCAAAATTCTTCAAAGATCTCGAAAGAACAGTACTCAACTTCATTTGGAAAAGCAAAAAAAACAGGATAGCCAAAACAATCCTGTACAATAAAAGAACTTCTGGAGGCATCACAATCCCTGACTTCAAACTCTACTACAGAGCTACAGTACTGTAAACAGCCTGGTATTGGCATAAGAACAGAAAGGAGGAGCAATGGAACCAAATAGAAGAACTGGATATCAATCTACACGTCTTTGAACACCTGATATTTGATAAAGAAGCAAAAAAATCAAATGGAAAAAAGAAAGCATATTTAACAAGTGGTGCTAGCATAACTGGATATCAAAATGTAGAAAAATGAAAATAGACCCATATTTATCACCATGCACAAAACTGAAGTCCAAATGGATCAAAGACCTCAACATAAAGCCAGCCACACTGAACCTCATAGAAGAGAAAGTGGGAAGTACACTTGAACACATTCGCACAGGGAACCCCAGCAGCACAGACACTGAGAGAAACAATAAATGGGACCTCCTGAAACTGAAAAGCTTCTGTAAAGCAAAGGACACAGTCAAAAAGACAACACGACAGCCTACAGAATGGGAAAAGATCTTCACTAACCCCACATCAGACAGAGGTCTGGTCTCCAAAATATACAAAGAACTCAAGAAATTGGACACCAAAAGATCACATAATGCAATAATAAAAAAAAAAGAGTACAGACCTAAACAGAGAACTCTCAACAGAGGAATTTAAAATGGCTGAAAGACACTTAAGGAAATGTTCAACATTCTTAGTCATCAGAGAAATGCAAATCAAAACAACTCTGAGATTCCATCTTAAATGCACTCAAAACAACTCTGAGATTCCATCTTACACCAGTCAGAATGGCCAAGATCAAAAACACTGATGACAACTTATGCTGGAGAGGTTGTGGGGAAAAGGGAACACTTCTGCATTGCTTTTGGGAATGCAACCCCTTTGGATATCAATGTGGCGATTTCTCAGAAAATTAGAAAACAACTTTCCTCAAGACCCAGTAATACCACTTTTGGGTATATATCCAAAGGATGCTCAATTGTGCCACAAGGACATGTGCTCAACTATGTTTGTAGTAGCTTTGTTTGTCATAATCAGAAACTGGAAACAACCTAAATGCCCCTCGACCGAAGAATGGATTAAAAAAAGTGGTACATTTACACAATGGAGTACTACACAGCAGAAAAAAATAACTACAGCTTGAATTTTGCAGGAAAATGGATGGAGCTAGAAAACATTATTTTGAGTGAGGTAATCCAGACACAGAAAGACAATTATCACATGTACTAACTCATAGGTAGTTTTTAAACATAAAGCAAAGAGAGCCAGCCTACAAACCACAATCCCAGAGAACTTAGACAACAATGCAGACACTAAGAGAGACTTACATAGATCTAATCTACAAGGGAAGTAGAAAGTATAAAAAAAACAAGATCTCCTGAGTAAATTGGGAGCATGGGGACCTTGGGAGAGAGTTGAAGGGAGGAGGGGAGAGGCAGGGAGGGGAGCAGAAAAAAATGTAGAGCTCAATAAATATCATGGAAAAAAAAGAACGTCATGGGTACATTCATTGCTCATGCCCTTGACTCGTGCCCAAACCAAACACTCCGTAGGCAAACCACTCCCTGAGTGGAATCCCAAGTTATTTCCATACAGGGAACTAGAACTTAGTTGGATCCTTAGACTTTTGTTTTAGGTGGGAACCAACTACTTTCCTATTTCAGGAGCACAGGTCTGGCAACTAGCCACACCTGGTGACAACAGCCTTGAGAGCAGAACTCTGTTTTACAACTAGGTGGGTTCTTTGTTTGAGTTAGAAGCACTAAACTTGAACTAAAAAGAAGTCCCAAACTCTCTGGCCTTTGGCATCTTTGGGCCTCCACAATTCTTCCCTTTTTATTAATTTTAATAAAACCTGTGCTTCTGCAGCAGGACAGATGATGGCGCCTGCCTTGGGATGAACGTTTCTCCATTTCCCAGTCTTACCCGTCTTCAGAACATGCACCTTAATTTATGCACAAGTCCAAGTCTTAGGTTGGGGGGGGGATCAAATCCTGTCCTTGACTGCTGACCTCTGTAAACAAAGGGTTAAGGGAGAAAGTACTGGGCTCTGCCTCTTGAGCCAGGTTTCTGTCAAGAGAGTTCATTAGCAATTGGCTAATGACAAACAAGTAGATAATACTTTGTGCCATGCATACTTCAATGGCTAATATTATCTCCTTACTAATCTCCTTACTAAAGGAATAGAGGATCACTGGGGTTGGGAATGCCCACTTGTGAATTGGTCTAGAGTATTCAGCTGTATCACACTCTAAATTTGTTTTATCAAGCATATAAAATCCAAGAATTCATTGCTGGTGTCAAACTTTTCTTAGACAAATTCTAAAATTTTTTAACCATTAACATCTTATAGTGAACATTACTAGTATCAAACTTTTCTTAAACAAGTTCTGATCATTTTCTAACCATTAACATCTTATAGTGAACTAAAGCATTAACAGGTCAATACCATAACATGACTTAACAGGTCAATACCATAACACCATTTAACAAATCTTAATTTTCTTAAATCTATTTTAACCAAAAGACAAGATTTTTGTAGTGGGTAAGAATCCAAATACAATGCTGCTTTTAAGCAACTGAGCAGCAGAAAAAAGCCTTAGGCTGCCCTCCTCTTATCTGAAGAGGGCTTTCAGTCCTTTTCTCCCTGAGGGGAAAACTGAGAACTCAGTTCTCAGGCTCTCTTACCATTTCAACAGCAGATTGGATACCTCATTGGCAATCTGAGTTATGTGTTTCTAGTCCTGCTCCAAAGTAAACAGGGTTCAAACTATAGCAAGCTGTATTTATCACAGCTGTTGCAGCAGAGTCTCAGTGACTATGTGGATCCTGAGTGTTTGGAAGCAGCCCAGTGCCCTGCAGAGCAGAATGGCATCCACTGTACAGAATGGTGGCAGCAGGTCCCATGGATCAGGCATTCCTCTCCTGGGGTCAGGAAAGCAGGACGATGAACTTTCATTCTGACTCCTCCGACTCCTCCGTGGGGGCGTTAGCAGCTGCGATGTCATCAGGTCTGGTGTTCTTCTGCTGTACACATCGAACCGGGCATTCTGGAAGCCATCTCGCTTGATTCTCATCCTGTGAAAAAACACAGACATATCCTCGACCCCAAATTAATACAGGGTCGGTTCCTTTCCATCTTCCAGTGCTAGGGTCTCTCCACCTTGCTTTAGCGAAGGTCGCTTTTGTGCCGTTATGCCATAATCTGTCTGCCGCTGATCGCTCATTGACATCCATATTCCAGAAGTTTAGTGTAAACAGCACATGATTTAAGGCTTTATGTGGTGTTTGAGGATATAATTCTCCTGTTTTTATCTTTTGAAGTTGTGTTTTCAAGGAGCTATGAACACGCTCCACAATTCCTTGCCCTTGAGGATAATAAAGAATACCAGTCTTATATTTGATATTCCATTGGTCACAAAATTGCCAAAATGCTTTATTAATATGTTCAGATCCATTATCTGTCTTTATTATTTTTCTGCCCCTCCTCAGCAGTGACCCTGGGCCTGAGGTGCAGCAATTCCGCTGGAGATGGATCAGTAGGGTCTGGCCTCCATAGCACTGCCCTTTGTGGATTGTAGTTGTCTGTGGTGTCTCTGGCTGTTACAAATAGGGGTTTCCTTGATGAGGGGTGAGAGCTGCCCTTGCCTGGCTGGACCCTGGAATAGGATGTCTCTTCTTTCCTTTTCCCCTCCATCTAACCCCTCCCTCTCTCCCTCCTTCCCTCCCCACCCCTCTCTTTTAGAGCAAGCCTAGGATTTATTGTGATCTTCCTGTCTTAGTATTTATTTATTTAATATTTTGTTTATTTATTATGTATACAATGTTCTGTCTGCATGTATGCCCGCAGGCCTGAAGAGGGCACCAGATCTCATTACAGATTGTTGTGAGCCACCATGTGATTTCTGGGAATTGAACTCAGTACCTCTGGAAGAGGTTAAGAGTGTTCTTAACCACTGAGCTGTCTCTTCAACCTCTGTCTTAGTATTTTTAGTGCTGAGATTACAAGTATATGCCTTCATATCCATCTTCTCTTTTTCATTTTTACTAGGTAATATGTGTGTGCGTGCGTGTGTGTGTGTGTGTGTGTGGAAAAGAGTGTACAGACAACAGCAACTTCCTGTTTGGCTTTATTACCACCTCATTTACAACTAGGACATAAAACAGTGCCAACACATGGTGGGTCCTTCTAGATAGATTGTAGCATATAGAAATATTTGGTTCATCAGGCAGTGGTGGTGCATACCTTAATCTCAGAACTCAGGAGGCAGAGGCAGGCAGATCTTTGTGAGTTCAAGGCCAGCCTGGTCTACAGAGCAGAGTTCCAGGACAGCCAGTGCTACAAGAGAAACCCCGTCTTGAAAAACAAAAAAAATTTGATTGACTATATATTTGTGTTATAATTTTTTTATTGTAGCTGAATATTTTTTCTTTTTTATTTTATTGATATTTATTGAGTGCTACATTTTTCTCTGCTCCCCTCCCTGCCTCTCCCTTCCCTTCTTCAACCCTCCCCCAAGGTCCCCATGCTCTCAATTTACTCAGGAGGTCTTGTCTTTGTTATTCCTTTGCGGTCACTTTAAGAGCTAGCCACGCCCACCCCCCCAGCCATTTCTGACCTCCCCCATCGCCATCTTTTCTCTCTCTCTTGTGTTTGTCCCTTGTCGTGTGTACATGTGTCTTTGTTCTTCTCTATGTTTTTCTTATGTCTGTCTCTTTTCCTCTTCTTTAATCAATAAATGTCTCCCTCTTCTTTAAATAATACTATGTCCTGTGAGCCTTATATCCGCCGTAACGCCCGCCTGACTCCCCTGGCCGCATGGCGCTGCCACCCTGGAGATCTTGCAGGGACCCACAGCCATCCTTGTCGGACTAGAAGCTGCTCCGCGAGCCTCCCGGGGCATCCCATCATCATATTCTTTTTAAAGAACAATATTTGGTGCCGCGGACTCTAGAGATTCACCTGCCAAGGGCCAGGGTCCCAGCTTCACCTTTTGTCCGGGACTCTGAGCTCCAATTTCCGGGATTGAATCAGGACCGAGGGCCTTCCTCAACACCGCCAACTGCCTGGACTCATTCCTACAAACAACACCGGCTTCTAATTGTAAGTTTCCTCACTCCAGCCAGCTTATCTGAGCCTTTTTAACCCGGGATTGACCAGTCCTCCCGGTGTTTCTGGGCTCGGGGGGTACTTCTCCACCCCGTTGCTGGCGTTCATTATGGCTTGCATCCTGTTAAGCCCGTGCATTCCCTCACCTGGAGGCCTGGGGCCTCCAGTCTCCTTCCTCTCTTATTTCATTCTTTTCTTCTTTCTCATCTTTCTCACAGACGAAAAGGCTGATCCGGTTCGGCCTATACCACCCCACACGTGGATTGGGGATGCTCACCTACATGTCCTGGGTGGTCGATTCATTTGCCTCTCACCTAAATGGGGAGCCATTCCCCGTAGGCTCGAGATGCCACGGTTTTTGCAGATTTTTCACAGTCTTGACCTGGGAAAGCAAGTAGTACCAGTCTAAATATGTCTTAAATTGTCTGTTTATATGGGTTTTTCACGATTCAGACTCTGGATAACAACCAGGCGGCCCCCGGCTTTTAAAATTCCCGCAGTTTTTCCATTCAAGCCACAACACGTGTCCGCCGCCATGTTCATTGGGGTCAGGTGACTTTATTGCTAGATTCACTGAGAGCCAGATCATGCGACCAAGCTCTTCCACTGTTATGTATGTCCTGCTTTTCCCTCCCCACCTCGGTGTTCACTGAAATCCTCTCCTTAACTGTGATTACAGGTGTTTTGCATAGTGATGTGCTTTCTGATAGGGCCCATCAAAAACATACACTTTGCCTAATTCCTGTTCTCTATGTATAATGTATAATGATTGTTCATTTCATCTCGTTTCAGACTACAAAATCATAAGTCTCATATTTTAAACTGGTATGTACTTTTAAGCTGTTTTCTACCATTGTCAGTTCTGCCACTAATCTTAATGTTACAAACAGTTTTTTTTCTTTCTGCCTGTCTTTTTACAAATATGGATCTTACCTATTAAGAGTCAATACACTCAAACTCAGACCCAACCTTTCAGACAGATTCTATACTGCAGCTATACCTAATAATCAGCCCTCAACTGCTCAGAGATCTGGGGAATGCGATAATTTAAATGTTTAATTATTTAAAAAAAACTTTTTCATAACAAAAAGAGACAGGTTGGCTCCTAGCAAGCACTCTGTTTCCTCCAAGAAGACAGAAGACAAACCGTCACTGACCAACGTTCATCTGCAGTTTGCTTCGACTGCCAAGTGCTGACCATTGGGCAAAAACTGTCTTTCACCTAAACTGGAGACCTCCAAACGTGGACAAAATCACTGGAATCGACAGTCTAGCTACCCAGGGTAAGGTAGGCCTGTCTTCCTAAAGATTTCTTAGTCCACAGGGTCTTCAAAAGCCGGACAGGCTCTACACTAAACAACAAAGGTCAAATGCAACCTTCAGCGACCAGGGAGGACCCAAAAGAGTAGCTCTGGGTGCCAACCAAGTAAGTTCTCTGTCATTGTTTAATCAGTAACTCAAGTAAAATCTTATCCTTCTCAAAGATCTCTGACAGTCTGATAGCTGAGAGGTTTTGCCAGGTTGTCACACCAAATAAAAGTACTTTTCATTATAATTTCTGTTTTTACAAACCCAAGGAGTTCTTAATACAATGTATATGTCTAAAACTTCTGTTTTTCTTATAAGTTCCAGGGAGCCAAATTAAAGAACCCATCATAAACAGGTCAGATACAAACCCCTCAATTCCCTGGTCCTAAAAATTTTTTTTTCTCAATTTAACTTTGTCCTCTGTTCTGCCAACACCCTAACCAGGTACAAGGGACACCAGACATTTCCATGCCACAGACACCTGTCCTGTCAGGAGCAGAGACCATCTATGCCAGGATGTGACCAGTACCCAGCTTCTCTCGGATCTCCCTCACCCCCCTCCAAAGATGACACCCACAAATCAGCCTGAAGTAGCCTTGAGAATTCGCTGCCCCAATTCCTTCAAACTGTAATGTCTAACCTTCTACTTTTTATTATAAAAAGGATCCGGGAATGTTATTCCTTTGCGGTCACTTTAAGAGCTAGCCACGCCCACCCCCCCAGCCATTTCTGACCTCCCCCATCGCCATCTTTTCTCTCTCTCTTGTGTTTGTCCCTTGTCGTGTGTACATGTGTCTTTGTTCTTCTCTATGTTTTTCTTATGTCTCTCTGTTTTCCTCTTCTTTAAGCAATAAATGTCTCCCTCTTCTTTAAATAATACTATGTCCTGTGAGCCTTTTATTCGTCGTAACCACCCGCCTGACTCCCCCGGCCGCATGGCACTGCCACCCTGGAGATCTTGCAGGGACCCACAGCCATCCTTGTCGGACTAGAAGCTGCTCTGCGAGCCGCCCGGGGCATCCCATCATCATATTCTTTTTAAAGAACAATAGTCTTTTTATACTTTCTACTTCCCATGTAGATTAGATCTATGTAAGTCTTAGTGTCCGCATTGCTATTTAAATTCTCTGGGATTGTGGTTTGTAGGCTGGCTCTCTTTGCTTTATGTTTAAAAACCACCTGTGAGTGCAGAAGTCCCTGGGTTGGAGTTGGACCTGGAAAGGTGTCTGATTCTCGTTTACTGCCTCGGAGGTTCCAGGCTCTAGTGTGCCTGAACCGCAGAGAACCTGTTTACTTCCTCAGAGGTCTCAGGCTCGAGCTCAGACCCGCAGGGGTTGTAGGTTCCTGCCTATTCCCTTTGATGTCCCAGACCAATGCCCGAACTCACAAAGGACCTGGCTCAGGCCTATTCTCTCTCAGGTCCCAGACTCATGCCTGGCCCCACCGAGATCTCTGGTTCCTGCCTATTCCCTTGGAGGACCCAAGTTCACTCAGGCCCAGGCTGACAGAGGTCCTGGTTCCAGCCTAGTTCCTGGGAGGTCCTAGACTCTCGCCCAGACCCACCGGGGTGTTGGCTTAGATCTACTCCCTTGAAGGTCCCTATGTTATAATTTTTGATCCAAGTGGTTGTATGCATATATTTTCTTTTTTGTGTGTATGTGTGTGTGGTGGTGGTGGTGATAGTAGGAGTTAATGTATTTTTGGCTGACTATGAATTCTCTGTGTAGCTATTAATGAGCTTGAACTTCTGATACTTCCCCTTTTAGTTTTATGTATCTTTCTATTGTTCGTAATGGCTGCAGAGCCCTCAATGCCTAATAAGTTCATAAAGGTTCATCTTTTAATCCAGTTACAGTGGCTACTAAATTTATACATGAGTTTGCAGGAAATAAACATTCTAGCCATAGATCTCCCATCTGTGGATTCTCTCCTCTGTTTCCTGTTCTTCCCTTCTTGATAAGGTGTCTCCTGCAGCCCAGACTGGCCTCAGGGTTGCTGGGCAACTGAGAATGATCTTGAACTCCTGATCTGCCCACTTCCTTTCTCCAAAGTGTGTTGCCAACGTGGGTCACCACACCCAACTTACAAAACTTTATTACAGGTATGGTACATAGGTTTGTGGGTATAACTCAGAGGTAGAACATTTACCTAGTGTCTATGGCTCTGGATTAGATCCTCAACACTGTAAAATGAGAAGGGAGGAGATTCGAGCATGTGTTCTAGGGAGGACTGAAGACAAAGGAAACTGGACTTCCTCTCTCATTCTAAATGTGTGCACAGGTGCACATGTACTCACACACACCCAAAGTCATACACTTTATTTCTCTCATTTGTTTTATTTAACCATAGCCTTTGGCATCTTTCAAGTCAGAACTCACTGTGCTGCTAGTTTTATGTCAATCAGACACAGCCTAGAGCATCAGTGTTGAGGGAGCCTCAGTTGAGAAATCGCCTCCATAAGATGGAGGGGTAAACAAGAGTAAGCGGACTACTTGTTCGTTTCCCAGCTTCCCAGATCCGAATAATGACACAGAAACTATATTAATTACAACACTATTTGGCCTATTAGCTCAGGCTTTTTTAAAATTAACTATTACATCTTAAATTAACCTATTCTATTAATCTGTGTATTGCCATGAGGCTGTGGCCTACTGGTAAGGTTCTGGCATATCCTTTTCCTTTGGCAACTACATGGCATCTCCATGACTCTGCCTATTCTCTCTATCTCTGTTTGGATTTTTTGCCTGACTTTGCTCTGCTAAGCCATTGGTCCAAACAGCTTTATTCATCAACCAATAAAAGTAACATATGCAGAAGGACTCCCCACATCAAGCAAGCTTGTAGAACATTTTCTTAATTACTGATTGATGTGGAGGGTTCAGCCTTCTTTGGATGGGGCCATCCCTGGTGTGGTGGTCTTGAGTTCTGTCAGAAAGCAGGCTGAGCAAAGCATGTGGTGCAAACCAGTAAACAACCTTCCACCACGGCCTCTGTATCAGTTCCTGCCTCCAGGTTTCTGCCCGATTTGAGTTCCTGTCCTGACTTCCTTTGACGATGCACTGTGATGTGGAATCATAATCCCTTTCAACTCAAATGTTTTTGGTCATGGTGTTTCATCACAGCAATAGTAACCCTGACTAAGACACTGATTTTTTTCCCCCCGAGAGCTTTAAGGGTTTCCTGACTGTATTGTAATCAGTGATTATGAAGCTCAATGTGGATCTGGAAGAATACTGCGTGTCAATCCTTGCTCTGGGTTTCACACTCGGATGGATTAATGACTGCCTGATGCTGCACTGAAGTGCCCTAAACTGGGAGTCAAGTCCTCTTTCCAGCATCCCATTTCTGTCCGAATACCCGTTTCATATCTCTGAACAATCAGGAATTTTATAGAATGCATTTCTAAGTGTGAAAGGTATAAATCTGTTGAGATAAGCATCATCAGCTTGTTAACATAGTTAAAACATGTTCTATGTATGCATATATGCACCACCTGTGTGCAAGGTACCCTCAGGGGCCAGAAGGGTACATCAGATCCAGTAAAGCTAGAATTACAAGTGGTTGTGAGCCATCGGATAGGGATGCTGGGAAGATAACCCAGGTCCTCAGCAAGAACAGGAAGTGGTCTTCACCCATCTCTCCAGCCCCAGTTTCATTAGTTTTAGTATTTCCAAATGACCTCCAATGGTACCATTCTCCATCCTCAATCAGACCATGTGAAAGTGTGTTGTCTCTCTCTGCCATATATGGTAAGAAGCTCTGTAGAAGATGGTTTTCATGGGCTGGGCTGTAGGTTGGTGGTAAGAGCACTTGCCTATCATGAGTGAAGTTCTGGGTTCAATCTATAGTACTGCAAGAAAAAAAAATTTAATTTTGTCTCCTTGACATATAAGAAAAGATAGGTCACTACGTTTAAAGATTTTATCTGTACTTAATTTACTGATCTGTGTGAATATATGTACATTGTATGTATATACATGTGCATGCTGAGGCTGGAAGTGCAGGTTTCTGGTGTCTCTTCTAACAGTTTTTGCCTGTTCCTCTAAGACAGACTCCTTGAACCCAGGGCTCACATTTTAGGTAGTGTGAAAGCCATTAAGCCCTGGTGGTCCTCCTGCCTCTTCCCTGCTCAGGAACTGAGCTTACAGTCATTCACAGGGTACACCCAGCTTGTTACCTGGGTGTTGGAATTCAAAATATGACCCTCATGGTTATGTGCTCTTAACCCTGGAGATATCTCTCTGGTCCTTACTTCATGGTTTTAATTATTAACTCTGAAAGGAGTTATAAACAATGCATGCTTTGTTTTTGTAAGCAAACATTTTATTTTAGGATTGTTTTAGATTTACAAAAAAACGTAGAGTAGGGCTGTCAAGATGACTCAGCTCAGCAGGTGAAGGCATTTACTACTAAGCCTGACACCTTGAGTTCGATTTCCTGGAGCCCACATGGAGGAGAGAGAGAACAAACTCTTATAGCCAATCCTCTTGCTTGCACACACGTACTGTGGCATCCCCTCTCCCAATAAGTAAAACATTGAAAAATGAATGGAAAGACAGTGTGCAGTTCCTATACCTCTCATGGCTTCTCCAAAGTGAATGCATAAAACAATGGCCCACTTGCCAAAATGAATCGCAGCATTACCGTCAGCTGAACTCTAGATTTTCTTTCTTTTCCCTATCAGTGTGGTCTTCTTTCTTCTTCCACGCCTTCTGGTTTTGCAGTGCTGAGATCCAGCCCCAGGCCTGTCACACGTCAGCAGATGTCTGCCACTTACTTGTGTCCTCCGCCCTGCATGGCTTTTCGGTGTCACCGGGAAGATCTCATCTCCCTTCGTCAGGTCCCGTCCTTCCTCGTCTCCTCCCCTTTCCCTGCCATCTCTTTCTAGTGTAAACATGGAAAGCACCGCTAAACAGTGCTGGGGATAGAAGCAGGACCTGGAGGGGTTAAGCAAATCCAATCACTTTGCTACCTGTGTTGCAATCCTCAGCGTATCCTACCATATATGGTCAGCATATACTGCTGCAACAAAGCACCGCGGGCTTGTAGGCTTAACCAGGTGTTTCTCATAGCTCTGGTCCTGTACTCAGGGTGTTGACACGGCCAGGCTCTGAGGAGCTGCCGCCTTCGGCCGTGTCCTTACATGCCAGAGAGATGTCAGGATGATGAGTGTTCTCTTAAGGACATTTAATCTCACCATAGGGCTCTGCCCTCATGACTTCCACGGGACCCCTCTCCAAATACCATCGCACGTAAAGTTAGGGCTCCAACATATAAAGTTGGGAGTGCACAGCAGTCTATACTACTGCCCTCTGATGAGAGACACTTTTGACTTAGGCATCACTGTGAGAGGTGGCCCAGCCCATCCTTACTTGCTCTGCTATTGATTTGAACTCAGTGGGTTTGTCTTCTGTGAGGGAAAAAAACTCGACTGTCTCATTTCTCTCTTAAGGAAGGCTCTCACTGTGTAGTTGAGGCTGGCCTTGAACTCTGAATCCTCCTGCCTCCACTTCTCAAAAGCAGGGATTACAGGTCACACTACTGCGGTCATCCACTAGAAAACTTTAAGTCATTTGGTGAATGGTTTACCTATTCTTGCAGTTCCATAGCTGTTTCCCCTTTGCTCCCGTCACCTCCTGTGCCTTTGTCACCTCTAGCTGTTCATTGTGTCACTGAGTGCTTCTCTCTCCACTCTTTTCAGTGCAAGCTCCAGGTGTGAGCTTCAGAGATGAACTGGAACTTCCTCCCGAACCAGAAGTGGGGATGGAGGGTTGTTTTTATTCTCAAGGAATGAATTCTCCACGATTCTGGTCAGTATCAGAGGACGAGACTTGAGAGTGGGAGTGGGGTCCATTTAAGTCAGACGGCACAAACTGTGTAGAGGAAGGTGCGCTCCTTACCAAAAACTGTTGACGTTGCAGTGAGAGGGAGGTCTGGCGCCAGGCCGTGGGAACAAGTTAGACTCCCTGTCTTTGCTGACTTGTTGCTCTCCAGCTTGCCTCCCCTTCTTGCCACTCAGTCAGACAGGACCGGTCTCCTCTGCAAGACCCTCTCCTACCCACCAAATTTCTTTCCACCAGTCTCTTCCCCGGGCCAGTGATGCATCAAGGCGAGGAGGAGGGTTTATGTGGTTTCTCCAGACACCGGCTATGGAGACCTAGAAGCAATCACAGCGAAAACGGAATCTGCTTTTTATCACAAGCATACGCTGCAATTTGTAAGTCGTATCCGTCATGATACTCACTGGAAGAAAAAAATCAAGACACACAGTTTTCTCAGAGTCGTGAGGTCTCCTCCAGGAAGTGTCTCAGTGCAGCGCATGGAAATACTGCTTCTGACTGCACACTGTGCTCCTTTCACAGGGAGCTGGGAACTCAGTCATGTGTAGGGTCCCCAGCCTTCTAGGGTATGGGACAACCTAGATTCTGTGAACTGTTTTCTCATTGTCCTGTGCCTGTCTCTTCTCTGGAGTGGCTGTTTCTACCTCTTTCTCAACTCTCTTAAACAACCTCCCACCGCCTTCCCTGGAGTGGGGGTGGGGGTCCTAGTATCCTGGAAGAAGATGCTCGAAGTCACCTTGTTTTCCTGACTCACTGGTCTCTTTTCACTGCTGTCAACCTGAGCCTGGCCAGAGGCACAGAGGTGTCTGGACCAGCCATTCTCAGGGTTTTTCCTTTTATGAATCAATGTTGTGGAACACAGTCCTCCTGGTATAGCACGGGTATTCGCCCCTTAATCAGAACATTTTGACCACCTGCACAGACAGTAACAAGACTGGGCTCGCTGACATTCACACCCAGGATTGGGTGTGGAGGAGGGTCATTAGACCCTCCACTTCTGATTATAGCCACTCCCTCCTGCAAACCGCACTCCCAGCTCTAACAAAGTCAAGGGAGTATATGGGACAGAAGGCTAGTGGGGGCAGACTCCATCTGTGCGGCTTTCAGGAGGTCATTAGCGATGCCAAGGGGGACTTCCCGGTGGTGCATCTGTTTGGGAATTACCTATGCTCCCCTAAGTCCAGTAAAGTCACTGGACTAGATGGGTGGGTCCTTTGGTTCATGTTAGGAGTCTTCCTAACATGAGATCTCTGCCGATGCAAAAATCCCAATCAAGCCAAATCACAACAAGCCAAATTAAAAAATATCCAGGTTTAATGGGATTCCTGCGGGGGACCTGCGGGAGAACCAGGAAGCTGCGAATGCAACCATGGTGGGGTGGGGGGAAGAGACCATGAGGGAACTTTCTGGGAAAGCAATTTAAATAGACTGGGGGAGTGGTCAAGATTTTGGCAGGCTGTCTTGACCCTACTCCGGGGAGGGGTCAAGGTTTGGTGGGCACAGGGATGGACCCTCCAAAGATGGAGGCCAGAGACCGGGACTTAGAGTCCATTGCTGCTGTCCTATCTGCAATGAACGGACATTATTCTTGTCTTCCTTAGAAAAACTAAAACAGCACTTGGTACCCAGACAGACAGAGACAGGACAAAAGCAAGGCTGAGTTTTGGAGGAGCAGCTGCAGGGGCCTTGCTGTAGGGTGATACACCATGCAACCGAAGCTAAGCTGTCTGAGGGTGGCACAGTGCCAGGGGCAAGTCCTGCAGTGGCTCCCTCCATGAGGGGTAGAATAGCATGTGTCCTTGTTGCAGGTTGCATTTGCATTGTTTCTACTGTGGGTGATAAGGCATGCAAAGGAGACTGAGTTGTCTGCCCAGAGGGAAAGCAAGCATGGAAAATTCATGAGGAAAATCTTGGTGGTGCCATCTTCCTGAATGTGTTATGGCATGGCATTCATTCTTGATGTGGTCCAGCAGGGGTGTGTAGGGAGATCTCAGGAGTGGCTGGTGGAAGGGAAAACGTTGCGGATCTTGAAAGTGGCATGTATAGGGTGTTTTATAAGAGAACCATGGGGAAGCTGCATTGCCCTTGCTACGGATGATAAGTCATGCAACTGAGGCCCAGCTCTTTGCCCAGGAAACTTCTCTGCTCAAGAACTAACAGTAACATGAAAGACATCATCACGTTAGCCTCTCACCTGGTAGGTAAACAATGAAGAAGATGGTTTACCATTTTTACAGCTGGGGAAGATAAGGAAAAGAGACTGTAAACCAAACCTTTTGGAACCCAAAAGTTGGAGCTCAATGGGAAGAACCGAATAGAGATGTGAATGGGGAGACGTGGTGGTGAGGATACCCAGGGGCTGGGCAGGACACAGGTGGTATGTGGTGCCTGCCCAGTTCACCAGATCAGATAGGAGCATGTTTGCCAGAGAGCTTAAGGAAGGTAATTCAGCAGGGGCCTTAGGACTGCTATAGCCCCATAATGGGTCATGATCTTTATGAGGTAGGAGGGCCTCCGACAGATCTGAATGATTTATACTGGCATATAAACTGTGATCACAAAATAGAAATAATCCAGAGAGAGAGAAAAAAAAAGAAGAAGAAGAAAAAAAGAAAAAGCAGACACAGGAACAAGTGTGGGAAGGTTTGTGTTGAGATGAAGTTTCTAGGTCAGAAAGAGACAGCTAAGTTCAGTGCTCGTAGTCTCTGAAGGCTTTTAGGTTGGAGCAATGGTTCACAAAGAGGTAAAGGGAAGAGTAACCGAGAGCAGAGCAAATGAAAATGATTAAGCTTAACCCAGCAGGGACAATCAGGCCCTCAGAGTGTGCTATGTACATTCTTTCTGGCCACAAAGTGCTGTGGGGTGGAGACTGTTTGCCCGGCCAGGCCCTTTCGACAGCCAGGTGTGGATAATGGAGCAGCAGCAGCCTCCCATGCTGCCCAGAGCCTGTCAGCCCCAGGGACTGGTCGGCACCGCAGGTGAGGCATAGCCCTGCTCTTCCTTGGCATCAGATCAAGCGAATTAGTGTGTGCGAGACCCACCAAGCTCCTGGGTAGTACCCCTTGGTAGCACCCCAAGAAGAAATGGGATGGCTCGTGAATAAGACTAGAGGACAGGGATCAAACAGGTTATACCCTCCCACCCATGCCATGGTGTCCAACATTGCAATTTCTACAGATGTTTGGGATCTTTTCATGTTGTTTTGGACTTTACTTGCCATTTTTTTTTTTTTGGTTTTGAGACATGTCATGGGTCCCAGTCTGGTCTCTAACTAGCTAAGGATGACCTTGAACTTTTGATTATTCTGCCTCTCCCTTCTGAGAGCTGGAATTACAGGAGTGTATTACCAAGTCTGTTTTGTTCTATTTATTTATTTATTTATTTTTGAGACAGGGTTTCTCTGTGTAGCTTTGGCTTTCCTGAAACTCACTCTATAGACCAGGCTAGCTTTGAACTCACAGAGATCCACCTCCTTCTGCCTCCCGAGTGCTGGGATTAAAGGCGTGCAGCATCACTGCTCGGCTTCAAGTCTGATTTTGGTGGTGCTAGAGACTGTGCATGCTAGACTAAGATTCTACTGACCGAGCTATATCCTGAGCCCCCAATTTTTTTTTTTTTTTTGTCTTAAGACAGTTGGCACTTTCTGGTGGGTCTTCAGAGATCTGACCATATGTAAAAGGATTTTATACTGTATAACTCTAACCTCTGAATACCCCACAGACTCAGCAAAGCATCTGAAGTGCAGACAAGTGCACTTAAGGACCCAGAGTGGGAATTTACCCTGCACAAAGTGTAAGGACCGTATACAACTGTGAAGTTCTGAGTTTTATGGTTGGATGATATGCACATGGTACCCAGTAAAGTGATTAAGAAAATCCTCCAACTTCTGCACCTGTAAACATTTCTGAAGTAAGGTTAGCCAGCAAGGAGGGAGGACACTTCCGGAAGCTGGAAGGTCACTGAACGAAAATCTCAGTGTCAGGGGTGGGCTGTTTCCCTTTGATTGTCAGCTAGGGTGGTCCCTGACATCCCAGACATTGCAGGCTATTGCAATGGCTGTTGGCTGCACATAGGAACTAGATGGTACAATGCTGTTGCTGAAGATCCCACATGCTAATTGCAGGCCACATGTAATTCGAATGGGTTGAGCTGAAAGCTCCCTTCTTTGCAGACATGTTTGGAAGTGCTGGGTGTTGTGTAGGCTGCTAGGGGACTGTCACAAATGGTGCTGCTCATTTACCTGCGTGCCAGGCAGATGTGCCCCTGGTACAATAATGGTACAACTAACTTTCTGATTGTCTTGAAGTACTGCTCTGCAGGAAGGGACTCATTGGTATTTTAAGATAAAAGCCTTTACCCGGGAGGTCATAGGACCCTAGTATGGAAACTCCTTCTGTAGTTAAATGGCTATGTGCCTGTCAGATTGTCTGCTAAACATCTATGTTTATACCTGTAGGTGACTGAGCTGTCAGTGTTAGTGGTACAGAGGATCTTTTTATTTATTTATTCATTTATTTTTTTCAGTGAGTAAAAGTTACTGAGAAGACCCACAGCCCATCAAGCTGCAGAGTTAGGTGGCTGTTGCTATGATACAGTGGTCCAGTGCTCAGCCACAGGGGAAGCCAATGACCAAGCATCTGTCACCTCCTCCAATGCTCAGAGAATACAGCCACAGACGAGAGGGGTGGAAAGAAAGACTAAGGAAGACTGGAGTGCTATGTACCCTTCTTCAGTGCAAAACATGGCCTTTACAACATTAAAACAGCGTCCTCAACTGCATAGGCTTTCAGGAGTATCTACAGGAGAACCACTTAGTTTTAGGAAGAGGAATAAATTTATGCCAGGATGGGACTTTTCTGCGGTGCAGCTGTTTTGAGGTCATCCACACTAAAAGTTATTCTTCACCAATGCTTCTCTAAGCACGCCCTGTAAATTGGTTCACCAAGGGTACGTTCACTTCCGTGGTCTGTTGTTGGTGCCGTTTAGAGTGAACAGTTATTTGCCCAGTATCCCTTGGAAAAGTTAACGCAACAGCCATATATCTGCATTAAGCTTGATTTTCTTCACATACACCAGTCAACGCAATATTCAGTACTCTAACCAACCAAACGTGAAATTATGTTTGAGATAGGATCTCACTATGTAACCCTATTTGGTCTCGAACTCATAGAGATCCTTTTTGCCTCCACATCCTGAAAGCTGAGATTAGAGGCGAGCACCACCACGCCCAATCCTAAATCATTTTAAAGAGCATAACAAAGTCTTCATATAATCAAGGCAGTGCCATTCTTCCACGCATCAAAGGATAGGCCGTTGTTCTCTGCGATGGAGTCTATTGGCCCATCTGCATTTCTGGGTGTTCCGGGGCAAAAGCGTCACGGTGAGGTCCCCTCGTCTCGCCACGTTTCCCGGGGTGAACTGCGGCCACCACCTAACGGCTCTCTCTCCTGAGGGAGAGCCAGTGAGGGTGCACTTAATCCCATCCCATTCTACAGACGTGACAGCGGGGGCTCCGAGTCGCCCAGCGAAGATGTAGCCGTGGCCACAGGACCACGCGATGCTGAGTACATCGGGTCCCAGGCGGGCGACAGGCAGCCGCCGGCCTCAATGTCCGGGACCTGATCCGGAAACCTCCTTTCCGGTTCCCAAGCCTGCGTTTCGGAAGTGAGTCACTCTGCCAGCACATAACATGGCCTCCAGCTCGTCGACCGCCCAGAACGTCGACGGCGAGGTGGGCGGGACCCGGAAGTTGCCCGGCTGGAGAATGGCGGCCTCTGGGGGCGTGGCTTCCGGCGCTCCTTGCTTGTTAGTAGCGGCGGCTGAGAGCGCAGGCGGCAGCTGACAGGCGCTTTTCTTCAGACGGCTGCGGCTAGAGCCCCGCGAAGCGGGCGGCCTCCAGCTCGCGTCCCCGTGTCCCGGCCCGCGAAGTTCCAGGGCGCCGGGGCATGGAAGAGGGGAAGATGGACGAGAATGAATGGGGTTACCACGGTGAAGGCAACAAGAGCCTTGTGGTGGCCCACGCGCAGGTGAGCGACTGGCGGGCAGCGCGGCTCCGGGCCTCCCCGACGGCTGCGGCAGCCCTGTGCCTAGTACCTTCCAGTTTGGGTCGTGACTCCTCCAGCTTCCGCTCAGGTGGTTCCCTGTACCCCCCAATATCCTCAGCTTTCTTACTCATCCCCGGCACCCCTGCGTCCGTTGTCCCCCTTTCCTCCTAGTGTCCCTTCTCGGTTCCCTGTCCCCTCAGGACTCTTCCCCGCACCCCGTGGGTGCCGCGTGGCCCCACGCTGTGCCCCCTCCGCTGGGATGCTCATCTTACTGCCAGGCCAGGGTGGGCCAGAGGCTGAGTCCGGATCAGGACTTGGGCAGCACTGACGAAAAGTACCGAGTGCTGTCACTCTCAAGAGCGTGGAGTTGAGCCTGGCAGACCACGGAGCTGCTGCTGGTAGGAATGGACGGACGCTACCGCAGGTTCGCATCCACATCCTAAACTTGAACCGGTTTCTTCTTCGTTCAACTTGAAAGGGAGTTTCCGAAGATGGAGTGATTTCCCAGGAGGCGGCGAAGTTAGGAAGAGAAGCGGATGGATTTGTGTGCAGCCGCTGATTCTCTGACATCTTGCTGTCTGATACAACCTAGCAGGAATGTGTGGGCTGGGGGAGTGGAAGGCAGGAGGTGTCATGTGAGAAGGCTAATAGCGCATGGAGCTGGGGTGATTCCCAGCGCTACTACTGGCGGAGGGAGCCGTAGGCCGCATTCGGAAAGTGCCAGGAATAGGACGCGTTTTGTTTGGCTGAAGTTAAGATTGTACCCACCTGTACTGAGTGTTGACACCCCCCCTCCCCCCGAGCTTGGGCCTTGAGTCCTAGCTGCCATCTCTGCCCTTCTGATGGATTTGTTTAGACTGTGGACCAAGGAGGAGAAAGCCTGGAAGGAAGGTTTTTCAGGGCCTTTTGTGACCAAGGAGAACGGCCGGTTTTAAGTGAGATGGAGAGACTCACCGCTCCTTTCGGTACTGGGCATGGCATGTAGTCCTCCTTCGCCTTTGAGAGCAGGTGAACTTTGCTTCTCTACTCATCCTCCCAGGCCTGCCTCATCCAGTCCAAGAGAGAGGGAGACCTTTACCAACTCTCCAGTCATGGTCACTTTTTCCGAGCTAGTATCAACCCCTGTGTTGAAAAGCTCTTATAAAGCCCCCTGTTAGTCCCGCCTCCACTGTAGTATGTGTGCGCAGCTCTCCTTAGCTCGATCCTGCAGGAGCTGGATATGCAGGTGGGGACATCTGCCCTGTCACTGGCCGGCAGCACTGAAAGAAAATGTGCCATTCTGCCATGTGCACACAGGGAATGAGAGAGAAGGAGCCTTTTGTGTACAGGTCTTGGGGTCGAGGAGCTCAGTGAGGCCCGCAGGAGTTTATAGGGCATGCTTGGGTAGGCGGGAAGGTGAGGAGCCAGGCTGTCAGCCCCTTGACCACTGTCCTGCCTGCAGCCTCGGACTGGGCCCTGAGGGGGCTCTTGGGCAGGAACATGCTGTGTCTTAGCACAGGTCTTCCTCGCTGCAGCCTGAGGGCATGACCCTTGTGCTACTAGCCACTCAGTCAGTGAAGCCTGTGGCCTCCCTGAAGGCCACCACACTCAACTCTCCTAAGGCAACTGTGTTTGCTGACTTTACCTTCCTCTTGGTTTTGGCTTAGAGTCTGTGAGGTTACTTTACATTTCATTTGTCATCAGTCTCTTAGTAGTTCAGGGCATCTAGCCTCAGGGCCATGTTGACCATGAGGTGCAGGGGAAGTGATGCCCACGCCTATGGCTATGCCGCACTCTCTTTTTCCTTTCTTATTGACAGCAGTAACGTGAAAGACTTCGTTAATTAGTCTGCCCAGAAAGAACTCTTAGCAGAACTTGCCAAGAACTGCGCATTGCAAGTTTGTCTCGTTTTAAAACCTCTCAGAGACTCTGGAGAGCCTCAGACCATTTCTGTAACTGTACAGTGTCTGGGCCCTCTAGGTGTGAACATCAAACTTTAGGGCCATTTCAGTTTCTCTCTCAGCCTTGTGGGTTAGAATTGCTGATTTGTGGGTTTAAATTTTCTAGTTCTATATCGCAATATGAACAGTTTAGATGGTTATTTTATAGTGGTTGGATTAGGTAAAGTAGGCTGATGTCCCATTTAATGCGGGGAAATAGTATTGTTAACTGGAAAAAGGAAATTACAGTGTAATTGTATGAGTTACCCGTGACTAGAAAGAAAATACATCAAGAATATTACAAATAGTTATCTGTTTACAGTAGTATCATTTGATTGCTTGAGAATGGGTCTCACTGTGTTACCCTGGCTGACCTCAAA